TTTATATGAGACCACGCTAAATTGGAAGCATAACCTGATAAATAAGAAGCGGGACCACATGAATTTCTAGAGTATTGGAAAGAGAATGTTGATAATTGTGTACAGTTAGTGTTTCATAACAAAGAAATGTGCTATTTTGCTTCAGAACTTGGCGACAGATAGGTGCATTCAACATATAGCACACCAAGGACCATTCTGTCATGTGCAAATACTATAATCTGGATTTTGTAGGGACTAAAATTAAACTAAAAAAATGAAGAAAAAAAATTCTAAATGAGTTTGATATTAAGTTTGAATTTAGTCCTTCAAAAGTGACAAGAGGTATAAAGTGAGGGCCTATAAGTTGGGTTTTCCCCCTTTAAAGTGAGAACATGATAGATAGACATAAATTTAATATTTTGATCTATTGTTTATTTTTATAAATAATATATAACTCATTTAATTTAAGAATAAAAACATGTCATTTATTTTTTTCTCTCTGAGTTCACTCTCAAACATACTCCAAGAGTGATAAATTTTTTATTTAATTAAATTATTATTAATTGGTGTAAGTTTATTTTATAAAAATGGGTTGAATGTTACCTCATGTGTGTTTTCTTATGAGTCAATTTTATTATGTGATCTATTTTGAGTTTGAGAATTACCATGTAAGTATGTCTAATTGTTGTGTAATGGTTTGTATTCATCCTATATACTATTAGTATTGAATAGGATAAAATTGGTTAGCTAGATTAATGCAGTTATGTTTTCACTTATATGTTTTCAAAACTCCTTAAGAGACCTGGAGTGGAAGGAAAACCAACTATGATGAGATGAAGACCTTTGGGTGCAATGCATATACCTGTCTTAAGCAAGATAAGTTAGGGCCAAGGGCTTTGAAATATGCATTCATAAGCTACCCTATAGGAGTCAAGGGTTACAAGCTTTGGTGCATAAAACCTAAATACAAGAAGTTCATTGTCAATAGAGATGTAATCTTCAATGAGCTTCAAATGGAAAATTTGATTGTGCCATTAAAACCTATTGAAAGATAGAACATTCAAGTAGAAGTGAAGACTGAAGAATTTGTCCCAAGTCAACATGGTTTTAATACCGATGAAGATGAAAAAAAATATGTAAACAAGATCCCAAGTTAGGAGCAAATAAGAGATCCTTCACAAAAAGATTGTTGTCTTGCTAAACATAGGGAGATGAGAATGATTAAAGCTCCGATAAGGTATGGCCATGTTGACCTAATCTCTTTTGTTTTCATAGCTGGAAAAGAGATAAAAAAATTAGGTGAACCTCAAACCTATGAAGAGGTCACTGCCAACAAAGATGAGAGTTGTCAAAACGGGGCATTCGATTCGGCTTGGCCCACCGCGGGTTGGTCAATAAGAGGGCCAACTCAACCTAGTTCACCTTTTAGTGAGCTAACAAAATATACTTTTTCTAATGTTTAGTCATACTTTTTTTTTTTAAATATCTGTTTTTAAAAAATATTTTTTTTAAATATCTATTCAGCCAAATCTATTTTTTAAACTTTTTTTTTCTAATGTCCAACCACACAATCTACTTTTTTCTAATTTATTTTTCTTTTCTCCCACAAAAATGAGTCCATAATCCAATAAATAATCATCCATGTGTGACATTTGGCTAAATGAATAAGTGGGCTATGGGTTTTTATTTATTTTTTTGTGAGTATGCTATGGGCTTTTATAATATATTTTTTTGCATGAGCGGACTCTAGGTTTTTATATTTTTTGTGTGAATGGGCTTGTGAGCCAACTTGGCTTACCACGAGTTCAACCTAGGTAAGTTGGGTTCTTAGTGAGACAGGTTGAATTTTCAACAATATTGAAATTAATAATTTTTTATTGCCCAACTCGGCTTGAACTTTTGGTGGACCAGGTTGGCTCATGGATTGTGACTCGTTTTGACAACTTTAACAGAGATAAGGCTAGATGAATTACTACAATGGAGGAAGAAATGAATTCTCTAATTCAGAATCAGATATGATCCCTCGTTGAGTGTCCAAAGGGACAATATATTGTTGGATATAAGTGCTTATTCGAGAGGAAAAAAGGTACAAAAGAGGTAGAAAATGCTAGATTTAAAGCAAGGTTGGTTGCTAGGGGCTTCACACGGAGAAAAGAAGTTAATTTTTACTAAAATATTCTCTCTTCGTGGTCAAGTGCAACTTCATCAAGATTCTTCCTTCCAAGGTTGCACGATTTGACATGGAATTGAAATAGATGGATGTTAATGCTATCTTTCTACATGGGAATTGAAATAAAAGATATATACGAGGCAACTACTGGTTTCATTAGTCTTGAAAATGAACATAAGACGTGTTTGCTCAAAAGGTCCCTTTATGGACTCAAACATCCCTCTAGAATATGAAGACACATGTGTGTGTTAACTTTCGATGCACAACACTAATCATTAGGTCAAATCCAACATGAGAAAATGTGTTCTTCATGGTCATCTTGGTGTTTTCAATTCATGGAAATTTTCTCATGTAACTTACACTCTTTACTATATAGTATAATTAGTATATTGCAAGCAAAGTTGAGTCCTATTACTTCTAAAAAATTAAAGGGTGATGGAGAATTACTATTGAATGTTGAAACTGATTCCAAAAGTACAAATGGATATCAAGTCACTCACTATGTGCTAGGTTAATTGGAGGCATCAATTCATAAGGATGGATGCAATCAAATGGGTTCATATATTTCGAGAAGGATATTTAGTGATTAATGGATTGACCAAACATGGTCTCTCTTTCAAAATAGATGTGAAATATTTTTAGTTCTTAATTCTAACCATCTTTTGTTTGCTATTTAAATTTTGTAAGGCTATGCCATTAATCTAGTTCAAAAGTGATGTAGTTGTGTTTTAGGCCTTAGCCCTTTTGTTCCATTAAAAAAAAGAAGAAGGAGGAATCCAATAATTGTAATACAAAAGTTTATATACAAACAAATTTTATCATTGGTAAATAGTTAACTTCTTTAAACATGTGGATAAGAGTTTGATTAAAAAACTTTGATAGGTATCTGTCCAGAAGACATGTTTAATATATATTAAAATACATTTTAAAAAAAGATATTTTCACTTCACTTTTTTTCCTGGCTAGAGGCCTTTGGACTGAGTCGTTTGTTAGTTGAGAACTATTGTAGGATTTCTCATTTTCAGAAGGTTTATGATATATACACCTCCTTTTTTCTATAAGTACACCTCCTTTTTTAAAAAAATAATTAAAATTTAAAATATTATTAATTTTTTTAATTTTGTATTTTGTATTTTTTAATTTTACATCCACAATATTTAATATAATATTTTTTTTCACATATTTTCTTTCATTTTTTCAATTTTTACATGCACCCTCTTACCTTTCATTCACCTCATCTATTTTGGTAGCATGTGAAAATTAAAAGAAAAAAAAAATATGTGAAAAAAAAGAAGAAAGTAGTAAATTGAAAGTTAAAGATATAAGATTAGAATTAACAAAAAGAGCTAATATTTTATAATTTTTTAAAAAAAATAAAGAAGGTGTACTTATTAAAAAAAGGAGGTATATATATCATGAGTCTTTTCAGAATTAAAAAAAATGAGTACTGGTCCATGAAGCGAACCAACCCAGTAAGCCCAAAATAAAGCCCACCATGTACACATGTAGTAAAATAGAAGAAAAAAAATCATTGTAGTTAGACAACAATAAGTAAATAAATAAAAATGGGTCATCTTAAAAAAATGTTTTCCTTTATTTTTAAATGATAAATTATTTATAAAGCAAGAAAAATCATTTAAAAGATATAAAACAGAATAAAAAAATAAATTAAAGACATAAAGGGTAAGAAAAATCAAATAGAATTGAGAAAGGAAATAAAAAAGGGGAGAAAAATCTTGACCCATCACGTTTTTCTCATTATATTTTATTTTATTCCATTATTTGTTCATTCATATTTTATGATGTCTTATATGTAAATTTTAATGTCTATCTTTACTCATGTCTTTATCTCAAAGTGAGTAAAGTATCTTTTACTGTTATTAAAACAGTAACACAACAACAATGAGATAATTAACAATGAGATAATTAGCAATGAAATTTGAATCACTTTAAAGGCCTTGTTTATCCGTCAAAATAAGATGAAAATTGATACGATAATCGTGAATGATAATCAGCGTAGAAAATGTAGTTCAATTGCGTGCAAGTTATTTGATGCAATTCAACTACTATTGAACAACACAATTAAGCTATTGCTATATTTGGAAAAAACGTAGTTCTCGTTCTTTTTCCAACTTGCAATGTTATGGCAAAACAAGAGTTAATTGGAAATTTGGATTACATGGCAACTGAACAGATAATTTTCCTAGTTTCTACCGAAATAGGTAAATTTTCCTTCATTTCACAAGTAGTCCGTCTAAGTTTGTCCTTTGCTCCAAATTCTATTAATTGCAAATCCCTTATTTTATTTTTGTTTTATATGCCACAATTAAATGTTCAAATCACTATCATATATGTCATTTTCATCGTTTTAATAAATAGGACAGCAATGACGCTCCAAAGCCTTCACTATCCAAGAGTTTTAGGATTCACGGAACAAGAGTTTTAGGACGTTACGCGTTTATAATTTTATATTATTCGGTGCGAACTGAAAAGCGAAAGGGTGTGACACGGATCTTGACCAAACACGTCAAACTAATTAAACACTATACTTAAAATTATTGAGAGTATTATTAAGAGTAAATCACTACATATACCTAAAATTGCTATAATCAGAAAAAAAAAATTAAAATTAGAGGAACTTGTTGTAAATAGAAGTAAGCAGGACCACTAGGGTTAGCCGTAATTAAGTACAGAAGGATCGAATATTCTGCATGCTGTTTGAGTCTTAGTTGGAGTGGTGGGTGCATGTAAGAGAATCTAATATTATAATATTCACTGGAGTGACACGTGGCAGCGTAGTTTGGCTTCTTTTGGGAAGTGGTGTATATGAATAGACAGTGCGTTTTGGGAGAAAAAAAAAATCTGTTTTGTTACTTAGCTAAATTGCAGGCGAGGGCGAGGGCGAGGGCGCGAAGTGGAGGAAGAAATGAAGTGTTGGTGAAACTGAAATCCGGCAACTGAGTTCGCATCCGCATCGGAAGCAGAATCAGTATATAATATGGATTCGGTGCTCGTTGGATCTTTTCCTAACGCGTCTTCACTTGCAACTGGTATCGTATTTCGATTTCTTCTCTATGAATTCTCGATCTGTTTTCCGTCTCAGATATTGATACCTCACTAACACGACTGACAATTGGTGCCGGCAGGTGGAAATTTCTGGAGGACTAAATATTGCGCCCGCATTTACCATGCAAGTATGTCTTATCATGTATTGTAGCTGTTTGGATAAATTTCTTGTTTAAAGCTTAATAGGAGAAATTTTATTTTGGAGCTATTTGGATGAATTTCTTGGTAAACACTTAAGAGTTTAGCTTTTGGAGAAGTTAAATGAAAATATAGAAGAATATACTTATTAACTCATTTTCTATATCAAATTTTAACGATTTAATTTTTAAATTAAAAGTTCTTAATGTATATATTAGACTTGCAAATTTTTAAAAAATTTGAAAACTAGTTGATATTTCGTTTCATTAATTCAAATTGACAGATAACTGTAAAAACATTTTATACATCGATTTGAATTTATATAACAAAGTATCAAATAATTTTTATATATTTTTTTAAAGTTGTAGACTTGACTTATACACTAAGAATTTTTAATTTAATGGTTGAATTGTTAAAATTCAATCTAGAACATGAGTCATTGAATAAAGTAAGTCTAGTTAAACTTATTCTTGGAATAAGTGAACCCTTCTTCATATATATATATATATATATATATATAATGTGAGTGTATAAATTGATTGTAATTTTTAGCTTCTCAAATGCACTAATTAGTATGTATGAGAGGATTAATGTTGGATCCTGATGGACAAATGATTGATTTACCTACTATAAAGTCAATTTATTTTATATTTATATTTTCTTTTTCTATAAGTGATTTACAAAGAAGTTTATTCAAATTGTGCCAAAATTTATACAGTTTCTTATTATCTTTCCTGTTGATCTTTAATTAGAAATGGAATTTCACTTTGTTAATCTTTGTAATATAGATTCGCATTAGTGGTTTCTCTAGGTTACAGAGGTGATTGGAGAAAGTCTGGAAGTATTGAATTGACATTGATATGGAAATGATGAGTTTTACCTTAAGTTTAAAATCTGATAAATTAAAGAATCATTTTTTAATCACAGCAGTGAACTACTAAACTAACAGAAAATGTTTTAAAATCTCGATGGTTGCTAAGAGCACGGGTGAATAAAAATCTTTCCCTCTAAGCAGACACAGGTAATGGGAAGAGCG